CGGGGGGGGGGAGGGTTCTGCCCTTCCCCCCACTCCTCTCCTCCTCTAATCTTTTTTGGGTGGGGGGGCCAATTTGATGATCTCTTCTTCCGAGGGCTGCCGGATGATGTCTGTGAAGGGGGGGGGGAGAGAAGAAGAAGAAGAGATTGTATTTATGCCCCTGGCCCTTCACTCGGAGTCTCAGAGCGGCTGACAGTCTCCTTCCCCTTCCACTCCCCGCGACAGACAGACACCCTGTGAGGTAGGCAGGGCTGAGAGAGCTCTTGACAGCTCTTTTGAGAACAGCTCTGAGAGAACTGTGGCTTGCCCAAGGTCATCCAGCAGCTGCACGTGGAGGCGTGCGGAATCCAACCCAGTTCTCCCAGATCAGAGTCCGTGCACTTCACCACAACACCAAGCAGTGAGGGAGCAGGCAGGTTTATGCCGCCCACCCCTCCTCCCATGCACAAACTGGTCCCACCTTTTGGGGAGGGGGTTTCCTGGACGGAGGCCCATCCAGCGTTGTTGGGCTGTGTGGGGCCACAGGCCCGATGCTCCCAGGAGTCCAAAAGGGCCTCTCCTGGGTGGGGCTTGCCTTCTGGGGGCCCCCTCAGCCCACGGGCTTTGTCCAGCCGCCTTGTCCCATGGGGAGGGAGCCAGAGGCGGGGGCCCGCCCCGCAGGGGGCCACAGGGCGGGGGAGGCCACTGACCTTTGTACTTCTTGGCGCTGGGGATGCGGGTCAGCTTGGTGTCCACCTCGTCCTCCTCGGAGATCTTCAGCACTTGCGTGCGATACTCCACCACCATGGTGAGCAGGTCGGGGCGGCGGGAGATCTCGAAGATGTGCTCGATGTAGGACAGGTTGTCTGCGGGGAGCGGACGGGTCAGTTCCAGCTGTTGAGGGGCCCTGGGCAGAGAGCGCCCGGCCCCTCCCCTCTCCCCCCCGCCTCCCACCCCACACCTGCCCCCGCGGCAGCCCCCTGTGTGCCCCTCCCTCCGTGGCCCCGGGCAGGGCAGAGGGCTGGGATGGCGGCTGCTGCCGCCGCGACCCCTGCGGAGTGCAGCCTGTCACACGGCTGCCGCCCAGGAAGCCCCAGGAGGGAGCGCCCTGCTGCCCAGCGGGTGGGGGAGGTGAGGGCGGGGAGGCCC